TTTTTTTGTTTCCTGCAATGATATTTATTGTTATATTATCCTTAAGATAGTTATGCGGTGCTCACCTAAGCCATGAAACTGATGACATTTCCAAAAACTACAAGTAGGAAAAAGTACCCTGTCCGGTTTGAATTTTTTTTGTGTGTTTGCTGTTTCCTTCTTCTCAAAACACTTGACATCACTTGGGCTGCAGTTGAAAGAGAAAGCTAGAAGTGTCTTAGGCACATCTTGACATTGAATGAACTGTAATACTGAAACGCCTGGTAACTTACGCAGCATTTCTTCCAGCTTTTCTTTCTTGCTTCAGTTAGGCCAGATGTTTTTGGTATACTGGGCCTTTTCCAGTCTTACTGACCAAATCACTTAAAGTGCGCACACGTTCATACAACAATTGTAATACTATCCTTTTTCTCTCTCACATGCCCACACACTGCTTTCAGTCTGTATTATGTGTTAAAACTCCTTATAGTTTTTTTTTTAATATTTTAATTTTATTTCTTTGTAACATCAGTACAGTGCAGTATCATTTCTTTCTTCAGTAGATTTGTGGGTGATTGGTCAAATGCTGCCATTGTCACCCTTTTAATGTGCACATGGTCATAGCTAGATTGGGAAACCCTGGCTTGATTTATGGAGTTGGTAACCATATTGATCACTGTGACCACTTAGCCTGATTGACAAAGTGTGAAACCAGATAAGGGAATGATGTCTTGGGTATGTTGAAATTGCTTTGCAGTACAGGCCCCAGATCTCAGTGACTCAGAGACAGATTTTTACCATTATAGCTTTTTTCAACTTGTATTTCTTACTAACAGATATGAATGGCGAAATGAATGTGAATGGCGTCACTACTGTACTCGGATCCAGTGTCCCTGGTTCCCACCCACCATCGGCCCCTTATCCACACTTGAGCAACCACCACCAGAGCAGCGTGGGCTATGACTACTTGTGGGGAGGGCACCCTCAGTATGGCCCAGCTGTGAGCAACTCTCCTGCGCATGGGATGCATCAGAAGCAGTCTACACCTGGGATGGTTCAGCCTCAGTCACAGCACCACTTCCAGGGTCATGGACAGTACCAGCTGAATGGGGGGATAGAAAGCTCCCATCAGGCCCCTGTGGCAGGCCCAGCGAACATGCCTCTCACGGGGAACCAGTACTGGAACAGGAGTAACCCTGGCACCCAGCAGATGAGTTATAATTCCCATGGCATGTATGGGACCTACCAGAGTCAAGCACATCCTGGGATTACACCACCACAGCATCACCAGCAGCAGTCCTTACAGGCAACCCCTCATCAGGCATCACAACAACACTTCCATTCCTCCCAGCCTCTCCCACACCACCGCCACCAGCAGCACCAGCAACCACAGCATTACGGCATGATGCCGAATGGGATGCCGTATTACCAGCATCAGCCCCAGCACCCGTCCCTGTCATCACCCCAGCAGCAGCAGCAGCCGCCACCACAACAGCAAACTCAGCCACAAGCCCAGGCTCAGATGATGCCTCCAGCTTCTCAGAATTTCACTCCTCCACGTGGCAGCCCGCAGCACCACAGCTTAGGCAGAGGGAGCACTGGCAGCCCTCTGCCCGTGGGGATGTCCTCGGCACAAATGATGTCACCATCAGCTGTGCAGGATAGTGGATCTCCAAAGGGCCACAGCAGGGAACGGAGCCCCCACTCTAGCAATGTGGGGATGTCCTCTCCAATGCAAGGTGACCCTTAAATATATTTTTGTTTTTTGCAGTTTCAGCAAAGATTAAATATTACCTTTTTTGTCTGGACTTAGTTCTAAATTTTTGGGACCTGTAGTACTTTGATTTCCTCATTTAATCAATTTAATCCATCTGTGTATAGTCTATTTCCTCATTTTAATGCCAGCTTTTGAGTGATACAAATAACTGTGATAGACTGTGTTAGTTGTTGAATGTGAATTGATTACTTGACCAACAGAAACAGCTGATGTTTTGTCCTGGTAATCAGAAAGCCAAATGTGTTTGGACAAAATATTGCAATTTAATGAGTCACCTTTTAATTCCTGGAAAATGATAAAAAAATCATCAAGTGTTTAATTCATAATAAAACAGAAAATATTTCCAGTCTTAGTTAATACAGTGTTCAGTATTACGTCACTCGTTGACATTATTTATTATTGGGGACAGTGCCATTATTTAACCAGCAGGTGCCAATGTTTGACTATGTTTAATGTCTGATCAGTCGAAATGATTTTTTTTTTTTTCCCTTTTCACTATCTATGTTTAGTATGAGAATAAAAACGATGTGTTTCAGTGTACAACAGTCTTGCATTATATTAACAGTTTTGCTATGTTTTTTTCCCTCCTTAATTTAGGGCATACGAGGGAAACTGTCAGGGAGGTAGACACAAGCTACAACGGCAGTGATAGGTCACCTGTTGCCCAGAGGCTACCCAAGACTGATAGTCACCAATCCAAACCTCCTGCTGCTCATGTGGGTCCTCCGAGTGATTATCGTCAGCTTTCGGAACAGCCAGCAGCTCAGCGCCCAGAAATGTCTTCCCCAGTCAGAGATCCAGCTGTTAACCCACCTCCTCAGTCGCAGCTCTCTGTGGCTACAGCAAATACATCTGTTTCTTTAACCAAGTCCTCAACACCACCTCAGGTGTCTGCAGCTCCTGCTTTCTCTGGATCTCCTACATCTGAGGCTGGACCCACTATAATTTCGTCTCCTGATGTAGAATCTACTTCACCACAAATATCAACACCTCCCAGTGTATCCTTTGCCCCATCTCCAACAGCTGCTCCCAGGCTCTCTTCTCCTCCCCTGATGGTTCAAGGCCTCAGGCCTCCCCCTCCTGGCATGAGTGATATATCACCTGCAGGATTCAAGCATCTGTTAGTGGGGTCTTCATCCACCTCATCGCTTCCTGTATCACCTTCAAAACTGTCTACACCTCTTGCTTCGACTGATAGTTTGTCTAGACCTGCAGCAGTTTCTTCAGTCTCTTCATCATTGGAGTCTGCATTTCATCAAAAGCCTGCAACTGTTTCTGGACTTCCTGTACAACAGTCGCCTCCTTCCATAGTGTCTGCATCTACTTACTCTGCACCCAGCTTGTTGGTTGAGAGGCAAATGGTTCAAGAATCTAAGCCACCTTCGATGCCACCACGTTTCTCTGATGCATCTGGAGGTCAGCATGAAAAGCCCAGACCCCCAAAACTGATTTCTGACTCTGTGGCTGCAAATTCCTCATCTGGCGGTTTAGCTCCATCTCAGATGTCTTTATCGGGACCTTCAACCCTAACACCACCTGGCCCTTGCTCATTACCATCTGCATCACCCTCTTCAGTGGAAAAAAATCCTCTAGTCGGCAGTGAACCAGCATCCACACTGCAGGGTCAGAAATACACTCCTCAAGCTGTTGATTCGGGTCTTTCCATTGCTTCATCACCACCAGGGGGCATGAATTTGCCCTCGATCACAGACCATGTAAGTCCTACAGTGAGACCTCTTTCTACCCTACCTCTTCTAACCACTCAAGCCTCCAGGACTGCACCCCTGCCCAGCCCTCCTGCCTTGGTGTCTGTGCCTCCTGTAACGGGTACATCTTCTGGAGTGGTCCAAAGTTCTGACCTTGAGCGACATCCTCCTAACACCGCTCCTCCTCGTGTGCTAAAGCAGTCACCTTCCAAGTCTGAGCACCATGGCCATTGTGAGGACAGGAAAGCACTAGCTGATAAAAGAAATGAAAACGCAGAGGAACACCTCCCTTTGCTTGATTCAGGCCTGGTAAGGATGCCACAGCTGGAAGCACCTGAGAGTCATAAATCTGAAAGTCAGCCACCCAAATCCCTCTCTGAGCTTCCTGGGAAAACTTTACAAACCACACTCGCTCCTGATCAAAAGCCCAAGAATGGGCAAACAGATTCTGAAAATCACCACATGCCAAGTGATGGCTGGGCAGCAGAGGACTGCACGATAGACCAAGCTCCTCTCAGAAAGTCTCCACACCTTAGCAGGACAAGCTTTGCAAACTCTTCGCATCCGGCCTCTCAGTATGACGGCAATTCAACCTGCAACACCCCCTCTGGAATCAGTGTCGACTCTACTTTAGAAAAGACCTCTCTTTTAGGCGGTGATAGCTCATGGATAGAGGACTCGACTCACTTTGACAACAGCTTTCACATGAGAAAGGGCAATTCTCAGTTTGACAACACTTCCTGCGCAGAAGAGGAGCCATCTAGCATATTTGACAACTCTGTAGATAGCAGCTTTTCTGTGGAAGACTCCAGAGACAACACATTAGACTCCACCAGGGAAGGAGAGACCTCAGAAGCAGAAGAAACCAGGAACAGCTGTGAAATTACAGGAGAATCAGTGATGGAGTCTTCTCTAGACAACACCTCTCAGACTGAAGAGCCTCCTGTTGATTTGAGTGATGTGTCCAACACACACTCTTTTGTGTCATCTCAGCAAGGTACAGTTATTTCTTTTCTGATCATTAAATCTAGTATGGCATCATTTGACAGGAAGAAGTTGTCAGTTTAAATAATAGAGTATTATTCTTTATCAGAATATTCTTTTCTCTGTTGGAACTGTACGCCTAACATCACTTACTTAGTCTTGAGCTCTGTTCATTCTCAGGACCTGAAGCAGGCTGGGATCCCAGAGGACATGATACACTAGACTCATCTGGAGGCATTAATACTAAAATTGCTGCCGATGACACAATGACACCACCAAGTTTCAAGATGAGAGACGAGAACTTCATCGCCTTCAGTACCCCAGCACAGAGCCCTGCTGTACACCCACTCCAACAAGTTACTGATCAGACTTTGCCAGCTGCCGGAGGAAATCTGAAAACCCCAGGGAAACCACGCAAACCTCGAACTACTAAGGCAATATGGATTAAACCTGCAGGTATTTAACAGTCTGACTTCCAACAGAGTGCTATTCTAATAGTATTAGATTTTACCTTACAATATTTTTTTTTCTCTTTTGTGTTCAGCGGAGGTTCAGCCGAAGTCTCGGGGTCGAACCCCAAAGGTGGAGAAAATGAAGTCTAACGAACAGGAAGAGACTAATGTGGAGCCAGCTAAGGGCAGAAAGAGAAAGAAGTCTCTAAAGGTTGATGCGCACGAAACATCTGGAGAGGCTGGGCCTTCCACAGAAGAGGTTGATCCAATAACAGCCACGATTGACGCTGTTTTGGCCAACGCTTCATCTATCAGCGCAACAGTCGAGAAAGCCAAGAAGATGAAAAGGGTGAAGAAACAAGATGCAGAAACAGCTGCTGATGATGCTGATGAAAACGACGACAGCTCCACTGCAGGTAATGAAAAGGGCATTTTGTTGAAAGAAGATGTCACTGTTTAAGAGTTTGATGGTAAACTTTTGGTTTGTTGGAACAGGTGAATCTGGCAGACGAAGAGTGGCAACAGAGGAGCAGGTCCAGTTCCCTCTGCTGCACGGGTAAAGTTTCCTTTTACTGTTTATTGAGCTTTTTACATTACACAAATTCAGTCACTCGTCATATAAAAAAAAATCTAAGTCAACATAGTCAAATATTCACATGACAGAAGCGCTATTTGGATTTGGTGAGCACACTTATCTTTGCTGAAGCTTTAATAACTGATGTCAAGTTAAATTATTATAAGAACGTCTTCATTAACACTGTCAATTTTTCAGTGAGGTTTTGTCCTTGCTAGCCAAATGTGATACCATGGAAACCTAGATGTAAACAAACTAAACCAGACGTATATCTGGAAGGATGATAAATTCATATTTGTTGTTTACAAAAATATCCTTAAATTAGTTGGAAAAAGGTATGACAAGACTATAATGATCAACGCTGTTTTAATTGTAGTTGGAAGAGAGAGATTCGTGTGAAGAAAATGGAGAACCGGATGAAGGGCGAAACTTGGTACTATACTCCTTGTGGAAGGAGGATGAAGCAGTTTCCAGAAATTATCAAGGTGAATTTCCCAGAATTTTTTAATTGTTCTTAAGAAGTTATTTGAAACTCTTAAAATCATGGTCTTCTCATTTCTGGTTTTATATTATGTTAAAACTCTGATTTTTGTCTCGTGCTTCTCCGGCTGTGTCTTTATTACTTAATGACACAGTACTTGAAGAAACACACAGACAGTGTGGTCACGCGAGAACACTTCAGCTTCAGTCCACGCATGCCTGTTGGAGACTTCTACGAAGAGAGAGAAACTCCCGAGGTCTGTATATTTTTACATTTGAACTATAAAGTATTCAAATACTCAACAGTTAAACTTTAGGTATTAAAAATGTTTAAAAAATATATAGGAAAATTGTTTTTGAAAGTCTGTTTTCTCTGTGTTTTATAGGGTGTGAAGTGGGTCCTTCTGGCTAATGAGGAAGTTCCCTCTATGATCATGGCCATCACTGGTCGGCGTGGTCGACCTCCAAATCCCGATAAAGAAAAACCTCGCAGGGTTCGTGGGGTAAAGGGAGGACAGGCCCGTCGCCCCGGTAGACCTCCTAAACCGAAGATGATTGATTTCCTTAGCAAGGTTGATGCCAAGCTGCTGAAACGACTTGAGGCCAAGGGTGAGTAAAGAAGTTGTGCGTAATGTCTTTGCTCATTATATAAACTCATTTTTTCTACTGTGACTAAATAATTTTTAATTCCCTGTGTTTAAAAATAGAAGCTCTCACAGAGGAGGAAAAGGAGAAATTGGCTAAAATCAAAAAGAAAATGAAAAGAAAGGTATGTAGATCAAGTTTATTGTAATGCTGATCTGTTACACTATTCATTAATCATCCTGATTTTGTTGGCGCTGTTTATTTATTGTTTTTTGTTTTTGTTTTTTTTAGGCAAGAATGAAGAGAAGGGAGGATGCAAAGATTAAGAAAATGAGAGATGAAAAAAAGAGAGCGAAGGTAAAGAAAAATACTTAACACTCGTGTCCTCAGACGCACATCTTTATCACCTACACCTCTTCATTTTGTGTTTATTTCTTATTTTATTTTATTTTATTTTATTCATTTTTGTTTTAGCTCGAGCAAGAGGCCCAGCACCTAGAGGCAAAGGCTGAACCAACTGACCCATCAGCGCCACAGGCTTCACAGCCGGCATCAGAGTCTGCTGCAGAGCCTAAGAATCTCGGCCGGAGGAGGTCAATTAAGGTTGAGCCCCCCCCACCGGTTCAGCAGACTGACACGGAAAGGGTGGCCCAGGGTAAGAGGGTGCTGGGGGCTCGGAGTAAAGCCAAGGCCCTGGCTAAAGCTCAGGCGGAGGCAGAGGCTGCAGCTCAGGCTGTTCTGGCTGCTAAGAGGGCAGCAGAGCGGAGAGCACAGGCCCAGCGACGGATGGAGGAGCGGAAGAGGCAGCAGTTGATAGCCGAAGAGCTGAAGAAGCCCACAGAGGATATGTGTCTCACTGATCACAAAGTGAGTTTAAATTTAACCCCTTTTTTAAAAAAATGTTTGTTTGTTTTTTTGATGTAAAAACCGATTCCAGTTGTTTTGTGACCTTTGAACTTTGTTTCCAATAGCCCCTCCCAGAGCTGTCCCGTATTCCTGGTGTGGTGCTTTCTGGAACAGCTTTTGCACACTGTCTGGCTGTGGTAGAGTTCTTACACGGTTATGGAAAGGTGATCGGTCTCAACATACCCAAGGACATCCCCAGCCTTGCTACCCTGCAGGAAGGCCTCCTGGGCCTGGGTGACAGCCAAGGAGAGCTGCAGGATCTACTGATAAAGCTGGTAGAGGCTGCACTACATGATCCAGGCCTACCATCGTATTATCAGGTGTGTGTGATACACTTTAAGCATTCTGCTTATTAATGACATTTGGTATGTGGCGGAAACCCGTTAGTCTGAGTTTTTCTTTAATCTCCAGTCGGTAAAGATCCTTGGGGAAAAGCTGGTTGAGTTGGAGCTGACCCGCAGCACAGTTTCAGAAGTACTTCGCATTTTTTTGGAAGCTCATGGCTATGAGACAGAAGTGTGCAACACCCTGAGAACCAAACCATTTCACGCCCTGCCTCCTGACACAAAGGCAGCCATCCTGGGTTTCCTTGTGGAAGAGCTTAACAGCAGTAACACTGTGATCAAGTATGTTCAAGATGATTACTTGTTCTAAGACTGCTTAAAGGGAGAGTTTACTCAAGAAACAGTAAGATCAGTGTTTGTTTTAAATTTCAGTGATATTGACAACACAGTGGAGAATATGACAACCTACAGGAAGAACAAGTGGATCATTGAGGGGAAACTCCGAAAGTAAGATCAGTGTTTTTAAACGCTTATTTTCAGTTCTGCTACTTATCCAAGCAGTATTAAATGTTGGACTTGTTTTCCTCCTGCCAGGCTGAAGGCGGCGCTATCACGTCGTACAGGACGCTCAGAGGAAGAGCTGTGTTTTGAGGAGAGGAGGCGTAGTGCAAGAGTAGCTGAGGAGGAGAACCTCAGCCTGGAGGAGAATGGTGTAATCCTTGAGAGAGGGAACCGCCGTGCACGCAAAGAAGAACCCAAACTCAGTGATGTATGTTTCAGCTCTACTGTTTTAACTACAGCACGATCATGCATGCACTTGAGACTAATTGAACTCCTTCTTTGCTGCAGAGCGAGAGCCCTACCAATGCTAGCATTCCAGAGCTTGAAAGGCAGATAGATAAGCTAACTAAGGTAAAGCTGATATGACACAGGCACAGTGCTGTATACATGTTTGTTGCTTAATATTAAATATTCCTTTGCTCTTAATCATCCACAGCGCCAAGCGTTTTTCCGTAAAAAGCTGCTACAGTCTTCTCATTCCATGCGGGCCATACTGCTGGGGCAGGACCGTTACCGGCGCAGATATTTGGCCCTACCTCACCTTGGAGGAGTTCTCGTCGAGGGTCCTGAAGAGCTGCTGAGTAAGTCTGAGTATAAACTCGAATATTTATGCTTTATAAACCCTTGACTTGTCTGTCGTCACGTCAGCATTTCCTTACTGTTCTATCTTGTAGCTTCTGGAGAAGTCCTTATAGCGGAGGTGCCTGTCACCTTCCTTAAAAAAGAGCCCAAAAAAGAGCCCAAAGTTGAGGAAGCTCCCTTGCCAACCACTCCTCCTCCTACTCTGCCTTCCTCTCCGACTTCTGCGACCCCAGGCCAGGCCCAGACCTTCTCTGTGGAGGAGGAGGATCCCCTCCCGGGCACTGCATCCCTCATGAGCAGGCCGAGAGGACGCGGACGTCCCCGGAAAATCAAACCTGAAGTCGAGCTTCACCTCCGCACAGCAAAAATCCGCCGCCGGCGTAGAAGTAGCGTCAGGTCCCGGAGTGAGGAAGGGCCAGGATCACCAAATAGCGGGACACAAGACCTCACACAAGCGGCTTTCCAGAGCTGGCTCAGCCAATCACAGGAAGCAGTGATGAATGGCACATGCTCATCAGCAGGGGAAGCTCCAGAGGGTAATCGACCAGAGGAGAGTGTTAAAGAGATGGCAGAGAAGCAAGGACAATGGTTCAACCTGCTCCCCAAACAACCGTGTGATGATAACTCTCTGACTGAGCTCCAGACGCCCACTTCACCCAGCTCACCCCCCAAACTTCTCCCGCAGATCCCGAGTGCTCTGTCTGCACTTACTGCTCCACTCGTGCAGGTTAGCCACCAGAATGATAATAGTAAATATTAAAACAATGCACAGTCTGTATAATGTAAAAATCAATAATCTCCTCCTTCTTAGCCGGACCCACTTTTGCCTTGCCTACCTCCTGCTGACCCTGTGGTTCCAGCACCACCAGCACTACAGGACATTCCACCTACAGGCCCTGGTTGTGCTGTCCCAGCCAGTTCTCCACCAACAAACCCTCAGCTCCTTCCAACTCCCAATCCTCCAGCTCCATCCACTCCTGCCACACCTGCCAGGCCAGCTCGCAGGCGAAGGAGAGGCAGCAGAGGCAGCAGTCCTGCCCGCAGAGGGCCCCGTGGAGCTGCAGCAAAACGCCGCGGCCGCCCACCAAACTCAGTTTTCCAGGAGCTTGAACAGCAGTACTTCACACAGCTAGTGGTCAAGCCTATCCCAGCATGTAAGTACTGAAATGTATCAGTTTTACCTCAGAAATTATTTGAATTCCATAAATATGCATGAAGATTTCTGTGGCCTTCACTGTTTTCTGGGGTGACATACTCTTCCTGTGTTTGTGGTTTCTTTTTTCACTTGTTTAATGTGTTTAATTTTGCTTCTTTTTCTTTCTCCCCTCCAGCAATGGTGCGTGGCTGGTGGTGGATCAAGACACCAGAGGAACTGTATATCACCTTGCAGTCCCTCCATCCAAGAGGCATCAGGGAGAAGGTGCTCCATAAGCATTTAGCCAAACACATGGAGAGCTTGGCCGAGATATGCACCAAACCGATTAACGGTGAATGTTGTTAACTGGATCATTATGAGCTTTCCCATAATTGCGCCATATTTGTTCTCATTAAGATTTTCTCATCCAATTAGACCCAATATTTGAGTTGAAGGTAGAAGAGAAGGATGCTCTGCTAGAGGCTCTGCAGCAGCCCTGGCAAGTGCAGGAGAAAACAGTGGAGACAGACATCATCGCACTACAGTGGGTGGAGGACCTGGAACAGCGGGTTATTGCTGCTGACCTCCACTTGAAGGTAGAAAATCACAACTAAAACAGAACCACTCTGTATTCTTAAAGCTTTAACAGGAGTGAATTAATGTGATTTAAAGAAAATAAAAGCAGGAAATGTTTGCACAAGAAGTTCATATCCTCTGCAGACCTCATATATCCCTGCTTTGTGTGTGTCTCTGCTGTCAAAGAATTCATAAAATGCTCCAGGATGCAGCTTTAGGTTTGAATATGCGTAAACTTTAAATGGCAACAAGAAAAGTATCTAAGTTACAGCAAATGTGCATGTAGATTTTTTATTTTTTGTAGTAAAACTTATTTTATTTTAATTTTTAAAAAAAAATTTCAAGGCACTTCCTCAGAGCGCTATGACCGATGCTGAAACAACCACAGACGCACCAATGGCCGAATTTCAGGTAAACCTTAAAACACTGATAACACATTTCCTCTGTTGAAACCCGATGTGTGTTAAAGTCAGTCACTGATACTTAAATTCCTCCTATGTCTGTCTCCTTTAAGCCCTACACAATCCCAGATCCAGACTCCACACGCGATGACCTCCAATACTACGAACATGACGCTGACCCACGTGACGACTGGATCGTGCGAACCAAGAAGGAGTGGTCTGGCTTGCCGCGAATCGCCACTCACCCGCTGGACCTGGGCGTGCTGCGGCTAGCCAACCTCGAGCGAAACATCGAGAGACGCTACCTGAAGGAGCCGCTCTGGAACCCCGCAGAAGTGATGCGCCTCGCTCCTCTCACCCCCACACCTGGAGAGGAGCATCCCATGGATGTCATCAGGTGAGAAAAACAACCTGGACTAAATGGGATAAATAAATCCTACATTTCATATGGTACACTTTTTTCTTTTTTTGGGGGGTTAACAAATTTTCTTCTGTTCCAGTCTGGAAAGTGAAATCACGTCTCGACTGCGGACATGGCGTCAGGCTTTAGACCGCTGCCGTAGTGCTCCCCAGCTGTGTCTGTGTTTACTTCAGTTGGAAAAGGCCATTGCTTGGGAGAGATCTGTGACTAAAGTGGTAAGAAATCCTAGAAATGCCTGGTTGGACTTAATTTCACTAGATTCTTCTCAAACTCCTAAGGTTTCTAACCTTTATGGGATAAATGCTTCTCTCTTTTTTTTTTCTTTTTTAAAGACCTGCCAAGTTTGCAAGAAGGGAGACAATGATGAGTGCCTGCTGCTGTGCGACGGCTGCGATCGTGGATGCCACATGTACTGCTTGCGGCCTAAAATCACCCAGATTCCAGAGGGAGACTGGTTTTGTCCCACTTGTGTCGCTAGGGTGAGAACTCCTCTTGTCACTCTTGACGTCATCAAACTTTGAGCCGTTTTTCAATCTTAAGATCGTATCCCTGAAATTGCTCCGTTTTAAGAAATATTCTCTTTTTTTTGTAGGATGAAGACGATTCACTGCGCTTGTCCAAAAAGCGCACCAGGGTGAGGAAGAGACGTTACGAAGACGACAGCTCCGAGGACGAGGTGACAACACGACGCAGTGGCGGAATGATGACACGGCACAAAGACGTGGCGACACCTCCCTCGTCTTCTCGTCACTCCGGAGAAGGAAGCAGCGCTAAACGGCGCCGCATGACAACACGCAACCAACCCGACCTCACCTTCTGCGAGTGAGTCCCACCTGCCATGAGTGCACCAGCTCTACATGATATGATTTTAAAGTCTTCTGAGATGTTTTGACAGCTACATTGCGGGGGATTCTTGTTAATGCTCTTAAAAAAATTCCTGCCAGGATCATTCTAATGGAGATGGAGGCTCATGCAGACGCCTGGCCATTCCTTGAACCTGTCAATCCCCGACTGGTGCCAGGTTACCGCCGAATCATCAAGAACCCCATGGACTTCCTCACCATGAGAGAAAGACTGTTACAAGGAGGGTAAGTGCTGATTATGCTGCACGTCTCATTAATGCAAAGAAGCGTAGGGTTCACTGCATTGCGGTGGGGTGGTGTTAAGTCTTTCTCTCTCTCGCTCTCTTATATGAGAACTGAATGGAAAAGCACAAGAGTCTTTAGATCCCAATGATGTTAGATCAACTGCTCTTACTTTATACAGTTCAATGATTTGGATTTTTCAGACATTTATAATCCCTGCCAATCATTTGTCCCTTGTTCTAAGCTTCTCTGCCTGTTTATCCTCATCTCAGGTACCTCAGCTGCGAGGAATTTGCAGCAGATGCTCAGTTGGTCTTCAACAACTGTGAGCTCTTCAATGAAGACACGTCAGAGGTGGGAATGGCAGGACATTCGATGAGGCGTTTCTTTGAGAGCCGCTGGGCGGAGTTCTACTCAAATAAGGACAAATAGGAGCCTACGACGATCCCCGCTGATGGTGGGGCTGTAGACTGTTGGTGCTTTCACCGTCCCAGTCGCACACTCTCCATTACTGCTAAGACTGTCTGGAGTTTCTTCCAGCTATGTGTATTCTCTGTATAGGTATATATGTATAGATTTTGGCTATTTGTCTGTTATTGTTTCCTCTACCGGCCTAACCTTTTTCTAAGGGCCCAAAGCTGAACTGGGTTGAACTTGTACCCATTCCCCATCGCAGATAGCGAGAACGAGTCTCTGTTCACCTTCCATTGTTCCGTGTCTCTGCATCTTCACCTCAGCACCTCATTTTTGTTAGCGTTCTCCTGTCATGTCCTTTCACGTGAGCCCCATGTCGTAGCAAGGCCTTTGGTCAAGCCCCGCTGTGGGTTGATGACGCGGTCTCAGGCCCTGAGTATTTTGGCCCTCAGACTCACCCTGAAGGTCAGGGACTGATCACACTATTGCAGCCATCATGCTGGATACTGGACCTGCTTAGCCACCACTCAATGACTAAACGTATCGAAACTCTTCAGAGCTTGGGCCATTTCTTACCTGTTCATTGGAAATGTAATGTAACGTGGTCTTATGCCTAGAAGTAATTTTTTTGCTCAATATATTTTTATTATATATTCTATATATAAATATATATAAAGATTACAATAGCTGGGATTATTTAATAGCAATAGCTTGTAGTGAATGTGTACAGATTACCTTATAGAGATGTCTAGATGATTTATGAAAAGGCCAGTTAAACTAAAAGGAATCTGTTTCTGGACTGTCATGAGTAGACGTTGTATAACCTCCACTTAAAGTCTTGCACGCACACGTGAAACACTTTTCCACCACCACACACAAACATGCACACAGTCCCACACAAACACACAGACACACACCCAACTCCTGCTGCTGTGTGAAAGACACTGGTTTCTGGAACTGGAGGATTTTTAGTGTTGGTCGGTCAGTCGTAGACTATTTATTTCACTTTCCTGTCTGATAAGAGTAAATATTCAGCTAGCTACACCTGATCTGTGTCTCTGACTGTGTGCAACCAGAAGGATGCCACTGTAATTTTAAGCACTTATTAAATAGTCCGTTTGCGAGAACACACAATGAAAGTTTGCTCTTACACTGTAATCAAGATTGACAGGAGTGTATTAAAGCTTCAAACCTGCAGTTCTCTCTCACACACACGTTTTTCTGTAGCTCGTCTGACCACACGAACACCTCTGAAAGGCTACAGTAGGCTAAAATCCTCTCTTTTTAAAGACTAGAATTGCAAAGGAGCTGACGATGAAGTGCTGGGCACAGTGCTGCCTGGGTTTCAACCTTACATTCCTTTTATTGCTACATATTTTTTGTGCTGTACACGGGCCAATGTACAATGTTGCACGGCATGGTTGGTGTGCTATGAAGGCGACAGGATGACTCCACAGTCTGGGTTTTATTTAAACTTGTTTCTTACACTGAACTCAACACCGCTGATAGGAAATAAACGTGGATGTTCCCTATTACACTTAAAGGGACAGTGGGTTTTTTTTGTTTTTTTTTTTCAAAAAACAACAAAAAAAAGGACAAAAACCAAATGTGGTGTTAAGTGACTTTTTAATAATGTACAGTTTTGGTGACTTTAAATTTGTTCCTTTATATTTTTAGGACCAATTCATCATTTTTAAGAGGAGGTATTACAAGACTCTGTTGTATTAAGGTGATGTAACACGTGTGCATCTGTAGAATGTACTGTGAGTTGAATAAAGAACCACATCTAGTAGAAAGTACTTATTTCTGTATTTCTGTTTTGCCCTTTCTCCACGGAGCTTTATATCTGGATGCTTACATCGCTTCTCTGTCCGTCTCCCACTCCGCAGTTGTTCGATTTCCTTCAGGTGCTTCAGTTTTATCCTAATCTGGAAAAACTACCTAGTAACTGCGGATATGTTTGGCTATTTAACTGAAAGTTTTAAAGGTTCTGCTTGCAAAGTTCAATAGAAAGACTATTATATGTTCTACTCGAGCAGTTGGGTATACAGCTCCAATCTTAAAACCATCCATCTCATCCTGACAAAACATCTCTGTGGACAACGATCCTTCAGGGATGACCTGTGGTTTCAAACGTGGGTTGCTGGTTTGGGTTAGTTCTAGTAAATCCTGCTAATGTTCGATTGAAAATACATTTTTAAATTGTAATCTTCATATTTTTCAAACCATCGCTGAATATCTTTGCAGTAATACTTGGGGAAAGCGCTGCTTTTGGGTTGTACCCGCTTTGACTTCAGAACTGCTTTAATTTTTTATGTCACAGATTCAACAAGGTGCTGGAAACATTCCTCAGAGATTTTGCTCCATGTTGACATGATGATACCATCCGAATGTTGCAGCAAAAATTGAGACTCATCCGACCAAAAACAGTTTTTCGTTAAACGTTAAAGCAAGCAGTCTGGCGTTCTCCACTGACATCACCAAGACATTTTCACTGCCCCTCGCTGGATATTCTCTCCGTTGTAGACAATTTTCTGTAAATCTCAGACGTACTCGGATCATTTTGTACTAAAAACCATAAGATCACTTAGATTGCGCATCTTCCAAATTCAATGCTCATTTTGAACTTCAGCAGGTCATCTTGACCATCTCTACACTCCTGAATGCATATAAACAACCTTTAATGCCAAACAACTGCTTCCCCTCTGACTCAACCATTCACAGAAAGCTAAGCAGATAATCTAAACACTGGATGGATTTATTTCCTTGTAGATTTCCTGATACCACACACTGTGAACCGCATACCAGCACACAGTTGAAGGTTTCATATTTGAAATATGTGGTATGTTTTTGGTGGAATCAAAACGTTTCTGTATCACCACTTTAGTTACTTTAACTGTAACTTTGACACCAGTGTTTCTAATTTCTTTGAGAGTGTGCTGAAAGGCTTGCCCATATCAGGCTTACTTAAATATTGGGGATTAACCAAACAAACAGGGGGAAAAAAGAAGCATAAAGCCTGCTCTCTTTTGTGTGTACATACAAGGAGCACATGCAATATAAGAGTGAAGAAGGGCTTGAAACCGCCGAAGTGTGGCAAAGTGTTTTCTTGCAGGACTGTGCAGCTCCCTGGAGAGTCCTGTCTGAAGCACATGCTGTTGAAAACATCCTGCCATCAGGCCCAGCTGCTCTGCAATAGAAAAGATCTGAGTTCAGTGAACACTTGCTTGCGAAGATTGATATTCTACACTTTCATCTGGGAAGCATCTAAAGACAAAAAATATGTGTGTAGTAAAGTTAAAATGTAAAAATGTGTATATCGTGTCTCTTAGAGCATCTCTTCCCATTACCCCTCACTCCCAAATCCCTTAGCTTGCACTTTGTAAGAGCGTGTATATGTGGGTGTGTATGTGAAATTGTGTCAGTGTCAGCACTATGGGCGGGGGGTTGAAAACTCCCCACGCCAGCGGGTTCCAGTGCGCCCTCCGCCCGTCCTGCTCCACAAATTTGGGCTTAGCCCCACAAAAGGGGGGATAACAGTTACACAGTTGCTGTAGGGAGGAGGGGGTAATCCACAACATAATGGGGCACACCAGCACTCCTCCCCACCTGCCCAACCAGTTCATTCTGGACTCACTCTGCTAGATTTGAAGGCTTTTGATGCTTGGAGGTATTAGGAAAATCAGATTGGACTCCAAGCATTTAGATACTCTAAATGAAAAACAACTAAAAAATAACATGTTAGAAAAAAGGAAAAAAGGAAAAAAGCGTCAGAGAGGTGATTAATCTGAGTTTTGACGTAAACCAAAGAATTCTGTCTTCTTTTTGTGTGTTTTTCATATCAAAGAGCGAAAATGAAAAGAGTGCATAGACGCAGCATCTCAATAGGTTCTATGGCAACAGCATCATGAAAGGGTTTGTCCCCATGGTGATCAGAGCGGTACCTCACAAGTAGTATGTAGAGGAGGGGGGAAAAAAACCTGAGCCTGCCGACATCAAATCTGAGATCTTTGGGTAAAGTGTCAACAAAACAGCAGGCATTTGTTTGCACCTTTAACCTGTAAATATGCTGCTGCATAAGATGGAAAGAGTCCCTCTGCTTCACATTGGAGCCTTCTGAAACCCAAATTTCCTTCCAGGAGGAAAAGCTTTTATCACATATTTATCCACTGAACAAATGCAATGCATACACCAACAGCCTATGGTTTTGGTGTTTTCTTGGGGCTCTTGTCACTAATTGGCTCTTTCTATAACTGATATAAAGGCTGAATGTCTGTTTTTCAGGTGCTCAGAACACGCTAACGCAGGTCATCCAACAGGAGAAAGCAGGAACAAAAACAACTTTATCCTGTGGTAATTTTTCCACTGTTGAATGTATCTGTCATGCTGTTGCACAAATGTAATTTAATGAGGAAACAGCCATGCCAGCCAGCCCTTTTAAAATGTGCTTTGTAAAAGGAGCGCTAATGTTAGCATGCTGAGATGGTGACAGTGACAATGGTACCATGGTCATCGTAACAGAAATGGCTCTTTTCTAATTATCATAAACCCATAATAATGATGTCAGTGTTTTTACATTCAAGATAAATTTAAAAAAACACAAATATTTCAATTTATAAGCTAGATATAGGTTTCAGGTGTGAAAGGTGTAGACAAGTGAGTTCCTCAAATGGCCAGCAGGGGGCAACTCTGGTTACAAAAAGAAGTCTGGTTGTATAAAAGTAATTTTTACAGATAAAACAGCCTTTCATTTCCCTTGTCCATATCTTTAGTAAATACCTTAACAATGTCTTTTTAGGTCTCAGGAGTTAGTTTCAAATCTTACTTGATGCAACATGAAGTTTATTTAGAAAGCTGCAGCTCTCATTTGAGTAAATGGAGGATGAAGCAGGTCGTGCTTTCAGGTGGGATTCACAATTTGCCTTTGAGCAAAACAAACCAACTAATAAACCAGCGGATAGATTTGCTTACAGGCTTTTTGGAAAACCCACAGCCTATGGGATTAAAAACATTTCCTGGCACTAGAGGGGTTAGGGAATTATCAGTTAAATATCTGTGCCAAAGGTTTTGGCTTTTGATCCCATAACTCTGTGAATTTGTGGACTGCCTAGTCTGCAGGTCAACATTACATTAATATTGTCCATAAATCAATACATGACAAAAAAAAAAAGAAAGTGGTCACAAATTTATGATTTATTTCTCATACTGTTTATAATATATATATATATATATATATATTTGTCATTGAATTGTTTCAACCTCTCACATTCCCTTTATAGTGTCATTAAATGTTCTGTTACATCTACGTTTATAGCACCATTTGGAGAACTAAAAATGAACAGCATTTTACTTTATGATTAAACTAATTTTCAAAACTGATTGATTCATTTTGATAGATTTATTGATAAATATTTAATACTTTCCTCCAAAACTTTCACTCTGCTGTGAATCCAGTGGACTGGATTGGGACTGTTTGCAGGTTTGTTATGGCCCTCTGGTCCTATTTTTACCACCTCTGTTTTGCACTTTTCATGGTATATGTCCATAATAAAGAAACATGTGACTTAAATTGTCTTAAAATTTAGTTCAATTTGTCTTCAGGACTATTAAATTTCCCCCCCTGTCTTTGAAGGCAATCTAGCCTCCTGGGTCTGCATTTCATGTTAAGATATAAATTGAATATAAATGGGTTGCTACAGCAGGTAGCACTGCATGTTTGATTTGACAGCTTTCTTATGCCAGGCATCTGGGTCTCCTCCTGGGATCAAACCAGTGGGTCTTTTGCCTTCTAAACCACTACACGATACATGAACCAGCTGTGAATCTGAGTTATCTGGAAACTGTCCTCTCTATACTGGCCAAAGTGACTCCAGTTAGAAAATCCATGAAATGCTTCTCATAGTTCTTTGAAGATTTGTTACAGTAGTGGAGGTCAGTGGATGTTTTGGAGTAAAGTATGCAAATGGACTGATGTGTGTGCATTACTTGATAAGGCCTGATGTGCACTAGAAGGAGAGGGCGAGGAGGAGAGAGAGAGAGGGAGAGGGAGGAGGCTGTTCTCATCAAAGGACCTCTCGCACACTCAGGTTAATCAGGGAGGCAGCAGGAACCTTGAAATCCTCAGAGACCACCAGTTACACAGAGACACACAGAGAGACCGACCAACAGAAAACTGCCTGAATAAACCTACTTGTTGGGTTTGAAATGACGTGGCGTGAGGTAAGCATGTTAGGTTAATGTATTAATGTTTAAATGTGTTAGAAATTACATGGGATGGAGTTTAAATCTTGTCTATTTTGGTAAAAAATGTCTCTTTATTATTAGGCTTTGTGTACAGAATATTAACATTTAAATATAATCAGTAATTTTATAACTAAATGGATTAAAACAACATTAAGCTGATTACGTTGAAAGTGTTTTTAAGACATATTTTGAAAGAAAAATATGGATAAATATCATTTGCAGCATAGAGATTACATGGTCATCATGCTCTGATGATTAAAATCTTTATTTATTTATTTATTTATTTATTTTTTACCCGTGTTCTGTTTTTATTTACCTAAAAATGTAACAATATATTTAGAGGAGTAGCTAAAGCCCAACTTGTTTACATCCCTTTTCTATGAGGAGCTACGTAGTCGGCAATTCTGGCATGCCATGCTGGCAGAGCTCCTCGGCACCCTGGTGTTGGTGAGCGCTGTGCTGGGTGCCTCTGTGCCGGGCCCTGGAGATGCCTCTGGAGGACCCCTGTATCCAGCGGTGGCAGTGGGTGTGGTGATTGTAGCACTGGGACACT